TAAAAACATATGAGGTTCATTTTGCCTTCTCTATGGAGGTCAGTAAATTGATATAGGAGTTTAGAGTTGTGTCTTTTTTTTTCCTTTGAGGAGGTTTGAACACTAATTACAGATGCCTTTATCATAAGTTCAATTGATCCATTAATCTATCATTATTTCTCACTACTCCTGCTATGAACAGGAATATACAGAAAGGTGTACCTTTTTTTGGTAAAAGATCTTTGTAATAATCAATTTCATAACATCTCCATGAAGCAGCTTATTATTATACCCTTCTGACAGATTAGGAAACTAGAAAAGACAGTCATGCAAATTTATAAGGTCATAGATACTAAGAAGATATTTCAAATTTTTGATTATGTGCTAAATTCATGAAGTAACTAATAAAAAGTATATAACTTATTGTCAAAATAATCCTAAACTGAAAAAAGGCAAGAACACTAAATTTTGATATTCTATAATGTTAAACAAATATATGAAAGGGAACATACATAAAAATGACAACAGGCAGATTTGCTGAGGTTAAGATTTTTCCTTTTATTCATGCTTCAATTAGGATTTAATGTTATGTTTAAGTCATCAGTAATTATTTTACAACTACTGGTTACAGACTGATTATTCAGATAATGTAATTAAATGAGTCTACCAAGAACCATCTATGTCAGAGGCAGTGTGGGAGCATAGTTTCTCAGAAATACCTGGGTTAGAACCACAGTTACCACTTACTTGTGGTAGAAGCTTGTCAATTTCTTCATCTATGCAGGGAGCTTTTAATGCCTATGTTGTTAAAATTTTGTTGTGAGGAGCAGAGATAACAGACATAAAGAATTAAAACTAGCACCCAGAAGATGATACAGGTTCAAAAAAAGTTAGCTGTTATTACTACTACTTGGATCAGAAAACTAGAAGATATTATAGTAGCTTAGGTAATGCTTACAGTTTTATTCACTCTAGCTTTTTGTTTTGTTTTTGCTGTAAAATGTAGATTTGAAATTGACAAATGTCCTTCATTCTCATTCACATTGTACCCTAAATCCTTTTCTCCACTCACACCAGAAGACATATTCCTCTTTTTAAGTCTGACTTTTCCCCTGGGACTAGAAAAGTGTTTTGAAATAGAGAAATATTTTGAAAGAAAACTCAAGCAGGACATGGAAATGGAATGGATGGGAGACAAAGGAAAGGGAAGCATCTGTGGCTGTGAGGTTTGGGGCCTAGTAAATGGAAGGGGGAGGGGCATTGACAGAAACTAGAAGGAGAGAGGTGGATCTGTGCTTGGTGCAGAAAGGAGAGCAGAGGAGTCTGGTTTGTGATATATGAAATAAAAACGTTAAGCTGGATATCTAAGTGAAACAGTCTGATATGAAGCAGAAGATATATGATTGGAGTTGGCTTAAAGACCCAGACTCATGAATGTCTGAGTCATAGATAAGAAAAGTGAGATAGTTGCCCCAATGTGTTTGCTATCAAAGAGCAAATGATAATTAGTATAAATATTACATCAAAAAAACAAAACAAAACAAAACAAAACACACTACCATGGTAAGCTTCAGGCATATAAAGAAAAGAATAATTCAGAAATCATTTCATTGCTGTCACTTGATACTGGATAATTATACTTCACAGGAATGAATTCAGTGGGATGGCAGTAGGAGGAAAGTCTTCTGTCAGAGTGACTCTGAATGATTCAGACACTCTGTCTTGGGGAAACCTAGGTAATCTGAGTTGCAACCAAGAAGTCACTGTTAGCCCCATTTCAAATCATATAACAATTTAATTATTTATGCAGCACCAGGTGTTTTCCTGTAGTATATTATCAAAAACTATAGTATGTGCATTGTAAAAACTGTATTCATTTTACAGAATCAAATTTTTTTTCCTTTAATACATTCACTAGGATCAAACTCAGAATAAACAATAAAAAGTCTTCCTTCCCTCCCTTCACCAAGTATCCCAGGTTTCAAGTTTCCCTCCTATAAGCAACCAACATTATTAATTTTAAAAAAAATAGAAGAAAGGAAACCTTTTTAAAAAAGTTTAAACTGAAGGATTGTTATTAGAATACAAGGAAGAAAAACTCGAGTCAGTAATTGAGTTTTATATTATGATTTGAGATCATAGTTCTTTCAGCAAGTCCATGGTTATTAAGTCATGAAATAATATTACAATATTATTATGAAGTAATACATTTGCCCTTCTAGTGTGTAGCTGTTACTCACTCATGAAGGAAGTCCTATAATGAAACTTTGTTTTGCTCAACCTCATAATTGTTGTTAAAGTAACAGAACCTCTTAAAAAAACCCTTGAGTACTGTGAGCACTCACCCAAGTATCTGCAAATGATTAAATCTATACTTTGCCAGGAGACAAGAATAGCTGCCCCAGAAGGAAAGTTAATACTTTCTTAACACTTACAATATTTATTAAAGAATACCCTAATTATCACCAAAAAGAATTCAAAATTCCCTGTATAAAATGCCAAAAAGAATCACATGGTTGGAAAAAGTTATGTAATGATTTTGACAATATCTTATTTTTAATTAAAATTTTCAAAGTTGATAGTGACTCTACTTAACACAACAGGAATATTTTTAAAATCATAAAGCTCAAGAAGGAAAAAGCAAGCTTATTTGCTTAGTGAATTAATGTCTAGCAACTGATAAATATGAGGCATCTTTCCATGAAGCTATTTTCAAATTTACAATATTCATTTCTTCTACTGTCTCAATCTTTAGCTGAGTCAATATTTTGCAACTATGAAAGGGAGAGATAATCTGATCTTCAGTTTAAGAGAATACTCCAGTTAGAAGAGTTTAGCAAAGATTAAAAAATACTCTATGCCAAAGTTAAATCATGTAAACCAAATTACAAGATACAAAGGATTCCAAATCTTGCATTCTTTGAACACTCACAACTTGAACTGAAATGACCTGTGTAAGACCTAGCTTAATGTACATTATATGTGGAAAAAAATGTTTATTAGCATAAAGAGTGACATAAATTCTAGGGAGATAAATGAGAAATAAATTTAGAATCATAAAATATCATAAGAAAGCTCTAAAGCAATTTAAATTCCATATAATCTGATTATCTTGTTATATGTGAAAGAAAACTGAGATCTCAGGAAGCTAAGAGATTCTCAAGATTACACAGTATACTGCAGAATCTATAATAAAACTATTACTAGAACCCAGATAATCTGACAATTAGATCAATGTATGCTATACTCTCTGTAGTCTATATTTGGAAGATACTATAATTGTTCTTTCTTAAGGAGATTATTTTATATTCTTCTGTAGAAGCATAATTTCCAGGAAGCCTTGCCTAAATATTTAGGCTAGTTAAGAGCTCCTCTTCTGGGTTTCCAAACAGCTTTCTGACTAATCCAATTTTAACACTTGAGCAGACCTTGTTTTTCATATGCCTGTCTCTCCCTACTAGATTGCAAACTCCTTGAGGGTCGAGACTGACTTAGACTTCATTGTACTCCCTAGCAACTATCACAGCGCTTGGCACACATGTAATAAGGAATAAGAAAAAAATTAGTTGAATTGATCTTTTTTCCAGAGGCTCACCATAATCCTTGTCAACTTCTCCAGACTCACATCCTTAAACAGTGGCACAGAAGATGAGTTTCTTACTGTAAAGATTTTGTTCAAGCAATCCTTTCCTCTTTCTTCCAACCACCACCACCACATATCCCATTTCATCAACTTTCTGGAATCATTTTCTCCTGGAAGTCTTTCCTGACTCATGGCTTCTCCCCAACCTAAATTGGATTAATGCATCTTCTATGAGCTCCAAGAGTTCCCTGTGCATATATCCCTGCACTACACATGTCACATCATAGGATAATTATGCAAACACTCCACCCAAGTTCTGTTTTATTCATGTTGATATCTTCCAAGATTAGTACATTGCCTGGCACATAGTAGATGGTATTAAAAAGTGATTCGAACAAAAAGACCATGGAACAGGGAAAGAGCCTTGGCACAGTGTGTATGCTAGGGACGCATGGATATGGAAATGCGTTGGATTGTTTGGTATGTCTTCCTAAGACACAGTTGGAACTAAAGGAATAGAAAAAGCCTTTCAATTTTGAGGCTACAGTTCAAGTTGCAAAACAAGCAATAAAAGCCCTGTTGGAGAAGATAGTAAAATGGTATAGGGCTATAAAAAAGGGGACAGATTAGAAACTAGGAAAGCAAGCCACTCACGCAAAAGCTAGTAGACTGGTTATCACAGCATAACGACGGGACACACAATCATGTTTAAAAAAAAAACAGATACACAAACATTTTTAAAAAAACAAGAGATTAAAATATATTCAAAATCTCTCCCCTTCAAATGGCCTAGGCTACGAGGCATTACCAATTGCTCCCAAATGACTACACAAAGCTTTTTCCTAATTCATTGTTATTGTGCACACTGAATTCTATGCACCACAAAAGGTTCTGCTGGATTAGATTGTTCAGAAACAGGGAAGATGGAAATAAATCAGTGAAGAACGATCCTTCATGGGCTGCTGTTAATATATTTAAGGGCCAAAGGCGTCACTTTATCGGCCCCCTCCCGCCCTTTTGGGAGTTATGAACCAAAAAGCAACCAGATCAGCACCCATATCTCGCCAAAAACGTAACGACTGTGTCCCGAAAGGCAGCTGGGGACAGCGCAGACCTCCTGCAGTTTCCTTTCCTACTGCACAAATTGAGTAGCGCAGAAACCGGCCTCTCCATCCAGGACTACAAGGAGGAGGTGAAGAGAGAAAAAAAGAACGAACATTGTGGGAAAAACAGCTACAGTCTCAGCACTCCCTCTTTTTGCCCTTCTCTTGTTCCCTACTCCTCATTAACCTCCAAGTTCGGTCCCTTAAACCCACGTACTCTCCTTTATTTGGGCTCGCGCTTTCCATTGACGCAAACTTCCCGTTCTCGCGGGAACATGGGAACGGGAGACGGGTAAGGCGGACAAATCTCTCGAAATCTCAGTTGGCGCTGGACTGGAGCCGCGGCGGAGGCCCCCCCGAAGGGCGGGGCACGGAGTTTGAAGGGGGCGGGGCCTAACCTCAGAGAGGGGAGGGAAGAGGCGGGAGGAGGAGGTGAGAGAGGCCGGGGGCGGGGCCGCGCGGCCAGGGACCTGTTGATCGCAGGTATAGCCGGCTGGCCCGGGCTCCCTCGGGACAGGGGCGACTGCGCATGCTCGCTGGCCGCGCTGGGCCAGTAGCCGAGCGGCGGTGACGAACCCGCTCCTCGGTTGCGGTGTTTGCGGTTGCTGCGATGGCGATGTGAAGGGGCCCGGGGCGGGATGGTGCTGACCCGGGTAGGACCGGATTCTTCCAGCTGGACAACGAGCTCCTCCGTCCGACGGTCGGGGGAAGAGGCCGAGTCGGGCGAGAGGTAAGCCCCCAACTGTCCCCTCTGGCTTCCCGGCTCCCGACACCCACGACCCCTCCTTCCGTCCCTTTTTCCCAGGGGCCAGGCAGGAAGCGGCCTCCTCCTCTTCGAGTCCCGCTTGCCCGCTGCGGCCCCTCACAGGACTGCTTGCGGTCGCAGCCCGGCCCCGGCCCCGGCCCCGCTGAAGGTCGGTGGGGACGGCCGTGCAGGGCGCTCTCCGGGAGGCGAGGGGCCGAGGCGCGCCTCTCTCACGGTGCGCCCCGCCGCCTGTCCCTACCGCGCGTCCCTCGACCGGCTCCTCCTGAACCTCATGCCTCCAGTGTCCCAGCCTTCGCCCCCTGCTCCGCCTTGGTCGCCCTGTCTCTCCTTTACTCACCTTCCGTGGTTCTGCTTTTCCATCCCGCGCCTCCCCACATGCCTTTTCGCCCCGGTGGTCCCTCCGTTGGAGGCAGCGTCCCTTGGATTTCTTCCCTCTCACTGTGCATCCCGAGCCTGGCTCTTCCCTACCCGAAGCTCCTTACCCCTCGCCGACCACATTTCTCTGTTGCCTTCGTAATTTCTATCTTGGCTTTCTTTTCTCCTCTCATTTTTCTCCTTTTGGTAGTTCATTCTGGTTCTTTTGTTAGTCGTCGATTGTATGTTTTGCTTTAGCATCGCTTTGCACTAGAGTTCGTTCTGTGCCCCACCTTACCTTTGGAAGCCCTCATTCCCTTAGCCCTCTCTTGGTGAGCACCCTATTTCATTGCTTTCTAATGGCCCCTGTCTTTCCATCCTTTTCCGTACTGGTCCTAGTTCTAGTTTCTATTCTTAATTTTTTGTTTTCCCCTCTCAAACTTTTTTTTTTCATGTTTGTATCGGTCGAGCCTCCTAATTAACTTCAGTCCGTTTGCTTTACTTTTTATTAAATCTCTGAAGAGTTCTCACATACCCTTCTAGTTTCTTCTGCTTTCTACCTAACCTAGAACTCAATATTCTTCGTTCAGTTTCCAATTTAATAAAATTTCTTCATCTTCTTTCTTCACCTGTTGGAAATATCATCAAAAGAATGACAGTAGCAATAAGCCTGTTACACTTTCTGATTGAGGCTTTAATTTTTAAGAATTATGTTTACCTGGTATGCCAGGAGAAGCAAATTGAGTACAGACTTCAAAAACCCTTTATAGGATTAAGATTTGTTGAAGGTTGACCTACAAACATATGCTTAAATTTAGAAATTTTCTGTCCTTTAGTAAATGTAGTTGTCCAAGAACTAGTCTTAAATGAAATTTAACACTGTTTTATGCAATTTATTAATTTGACATTTTATACTTTTGTTATTGCAATTGATTGCATCATTTTCCTGAGAGTATCTGTTCTCTTCAATAAATGCATATAGTTTCTGCTAATTTAAGAATAGAATTAGTGTGCTTACTGAAGGAGAAATATGTGAGAAATATTAAATTTTTGAATTGGGCAAAAGAAATTTCTAACCAGTTTTGGAGTCCCCCCTCCTTCATTTGGCTTAAATAAAACTTCTTTTTCTAAAAATAATGATAAAGTATCTTATTTTGAAGGCATCTGCTGAAACAATTAGTTTTAGTAAAGTTTGCCTTTATTCCAGGGTTGAAGATCAACTGGATTATGCATTTCGTTCTGGAATCTCAAAGCAGTCCACAAAGAGTAAATTCTTCCTTACGTTGTCTATGTCAGGTAGGAATTAAGTTTTCTGTTTTTGTTTTAAGAAGGGAAATAAATACTGAAGCAAAAAAGTCTGGTCCCTTATTCAAAGTGATTTAAAGGTAAAAGTGGGAGGCTCTGCTGTCATTAAACCACACTTTTAGAAAAATGAGCAATTGTCTATGGTAAGAGGTGAACTCCTCAGCTTTCAAGTTTTTTTTTAATGATTTTTTCAAATGCAAATAGAGATAACTGCTGCTTCTGAAGAAAGCTTATACTTCAGAAGCCGATATTCTTATTTTTAGGTAAATATTCTTTTAAAAAAGTAAACACCTACAAATTCTTGTTGGTATTTTTAGTGAGTTGATTCCCGTGCTTTTAGAAATTAAAATGAGGATTCACACAGACAGCAGGCACAAGGACTAGAAGTCAGATGTGAACTCTTATGATGACTCATGACATTAGTATGTAGATCCCACTTAACCTCTATAGCTCAGTGTCTCCACCTGTAAAATGTGGATAATAAAGGTGGCCACCCAGTCATCTCTCAATAGGAAAGTAAGTCCTAATCATTTAAATATGCTTAGGACCACCACAGACAAAAATTGCTATGAAAATACTTAATTTTATCTCTAATTTTAGACTATATAGTAAGAGTACAGTTGACTACTTAAATCCCAGATTAAACTGGGACTTAGATCCTTTTTTTTTTGTTTAATTTCAGACTTCTGTGAAAAGTGTAGTACAATGCTAATGAACTGTGGACTAGCTTGGATTAATGTTCATATACAGTGAAACAGACATTACAGTATTCAATATGTAAAACAGATATCCTTGTTTGCTAGGAGTTGACACTGAAAGGAGATGTAAAAGTGATGCTTATATATCTTTGGTTATCTCCTTAATTTTCTGTTGTCTTATGTTTTCACTTTGTTTACTGTAAATATAGACACTTGAGAGTGGGGAGTTTTTAAGGGAATAGAAAAGGCAAGGATTTCCTTTGCTTTGATTCTAGGTATTGAGGAAAGACTGCTTAAAAATGAGTTTTTTTATATGTACATGTGATGGATATTTAAATAAATGGTTGGAGATGGGGGCATGTAGACTTAAAGGGAGTAACGGTTTTGTCATGAGTCATTTTGTCTGGAAGAAGGTTTAGAAATGAATAGGAATAAGAAATGGAATGGTATTAAAGAAGAAAGCATTCTTAATGGACTCAATGGTTTTTCAGGAAAGTTAACAATGCACAAATTGTTAGGCAGGTCTAGGTTTTTCAGAAGGAATAAAGTAAAGGAACTCTTCAGTGTGTTTTACCATTTTATTTTTAAAGATTTTCAATTTTTAACAGATACATACTTGGTTATCAGTGATGTGCTAAATTTAAAATAAAAATTACCCTCTTTTTTCTTAACAGAAATATAAAGGTATCAGGCATGTTAAACCATAAAAAGATATCTCCTACTTGAAAAAACGCCTTATTTGGTAGTTCTTATTTTGATTAAACTTTACTATCTCTTAACTGAGAAACCATTCTGAGAAAATTATAGCATTTTCCTTTTATAGCATTAGGTCTCTATCAGAGAATATTTAAGTGTTATGAAATGTCCTTTTGCTATAGTTCTTAATTTAATCTGAAATAGAGTAAGTATTCCTTTATTGAAATCCCCTTGTAGTTGCCTTATAGGATGCAGCTGCTTCATTCATGATTGTTTTTAGAGCAGTGATAACTGACACCTGCACTTTGATGTCCTAAAATTGCCAGAAAGTGAGGGCTTATTGGCAATTATAATTTAAGACCTTGGAAGTCTTTACCATCACTTTTGTCTTTTTGGAATTGAGAACCCCAGATTTTTAGAACACCATCATCCTTACTCAGGTTTACTTTAAGACTGAAAATTATTTTTTTTCCTCAAGCACATAATTTTAGAATGTAGGCTGTCACCAGCCCCTTTCTGTAAAATTAATCATTTTGTCAAAGTATAATAATAGCATAAAATGAAAATGCTTGTAAAGGGCCAAATTTTGGTGGTAGAGTTCTAAAGTAGTCCTTTGCAGGAGCAGGGAAATGTCAATAAAGACATAATTAGGAAATAATTTCATAATTAGGAAATAATATTAATTACTTGGGAAATTGAATATAGTTAATTTATTAAGTAATTTTTTCCATTAATGTTGCATTCTGATTTCAGTTTTTCTTCTGGTAGAGGCACATTTATCTCATGGCTTGATGATCATTGAATCTATTTCCTATAGCAATTCAGGTGTGGACTTTAGAATTAGGCAATTGCAAATATAGGCCATGGAGTTTGACACCTTTCAGTTTTTTGTGCTATTCCATTATTTCCTTACTGTGTGATTTGGGATAAGTTATGTAAAGTTTCTGCTCCTTAGTTTCCTCACCTGTAAAATGCAGTAATAGTAGTTCTTTCAAATTTTTATGAGGATTACATCAAATAGCATCATTAAAGCTGCTGGTGCAAGAGTAGGTGTGCCAAAAAATTTTCAGTGACTATATTTGGTTTTTATTTTATGTTGCTATTTGGTCTATATTTGGTATTATCAACAGAGAAACATATAGATTTTTAAAATATAAAAGCTATATTAAGCTATTCTTATTATCTTTGCTTTGGAAGATCTCCCTTCTTCCCCAAAGAAAAAAATTCAGTAATCTATTCTTTTCTTAAATATTTTTATAATTCATGCAATATGGCATAGGCTGGCCCTCAAGAGTTCATTTTGATCAGTGAAGAATGTTGGCTAAAGTTTCTAGACAAATAATTTTCCTTATTTTATGTGCCCTCTTTAATGATTCTTATGAGCTCAGCTTTGCTATGAGAGCTGTTACTGATGAAAGTTGTATTGTATATGTGAATGATGATAAGGCAAAAGAAGTTTAAAAGTGATCTGAGTAGTGGTGATCTTCAGAGTCAGGCAAGTGACAGGTGGCTTGGCCAGTTTAGAACAGGATATAATCCAGTGACTGAGCGTGTTTAGCCCCTGCAAAAGGGAGCTTACAAAGATAGGCAGGGTGTCAGGGTCTCAGCTAACCACGAAGGGGGTTGAATCTAAATCAAGAAATAAGACCATAGCTTGGATATTCACACTGAACCAACCAATGCACACCTAACCAACTCAGGTGGCCAGAATTTATACCACATAGTAGATTGTTTTCAGTTTATTGCTGTGTAGTCTGACTTGGTCAAGATTAGCTCAAAGATTATAAGGGCCAGAGCCTATGTGGATTGGAGTTCTCCTCTACCATAGATGAGTAGGACTTAGGAAAGGTGGCACCTGAGTATACAGTCCACCAAGAAATCCATCTTCCTACTCTTCCTCAGTCTGCTACAGAACATGACTGTTATAAGAATCCTTTGTTATTCACAAGAGAACAGCATTCTGAAGGCTTCTGGGGCACTTCTGTTTTGGGTTTCCTGCTTATTCCTTTAGAGAAGTCCCAAGAAAAAGCAAAATTAGACTAGCTAGTATTAAATGTATTAAGTTAACCTCCTTCTGGATCCAGAAAATTTCTCTGTTCCCATCATATTCATATTTAACATACTTGAATTTAATTATACATGTCAGGTGTTCTTCCCTTGGTTGGGCCTGGATCTGAAATGTTAGTTTCGGTTCCCAAATATCTGTCATAGTGTGAGTGCCTCATCTAATTGTGTGGGAATCTGCTGTTCCTTTATTTGGTGTCAGTTCTCATATGTCTATTATAATGTGAGGTGCTCACTACATTGAATGAATGTTTGAAGGTGTGTGTATTTTTTGTACAATATGGCCCCTAAATGTAAGTTTATTACATTATCTAGTGTTCAGCTAAAGAAACTGAATTTTTTCCTAAAGCAGGAGGAAAAAGTGATTATGTTGTACCTAATGATCATGATATGTCATTTGCTAACATGGGGCCTTTCTAAGGGATTTTTAAGGGTAAGGTGGTCCGTAGGCAATTTTTGCCTGATGCATTGTCTTTTGAACATCATGATTTGGACTGTCAGTTTTATGGTCTCCTGAGTTCATTTGTCCCAGGGTTGCTAACTTGGGAGTTGAATTCAGGAACTGGAGCCATTGCCTTCATGGTTGATGGAAATGGTGCCTTAATTCCTTAGGCTGACAAAGAGAGTGTTTGAAGTCTCCAGTTTGTTCAAATCCACTGCTCTGCCTTAGGAGAAAGAACATTTTCAGGGCATCTGTGAGTTCATAATTCAAGAGTCAAGGCTGTTTCTTGATTTCTGTGAGAGGATCTGATAGTCCCCTGTGGTCTCCAGCTCATCTTGAGGGACCTTGGATCTGTGCCTCTTAGTTTCAGGTGTTTCCACATCCTCTTTTAGCTTTTGAAGCACTCATGAATTCTGACTGCATTTAAGGTGGTTAGCTCTTGCTTTAGGATCACTGTAGATAGTGCAGGAGCATCTCCCGCATTTTTCCAGCTATCCGTGCCTGAAGTCTCCTTTGTGAATATTTGATGTCTCTCTGATGATCTGATAGGAGTGAGCCTCCCTGTAGTCTTAGAAGTTATGCATGGTTTTATGTACCTATCACTATTTCTGAGGCAGTTACTATATGCTTAGCAGTTAAAGCGATGGGTTGGTATTCCTAGACTATGCTATCCAATAGAAATATGTAAGACATGTAATTTAAAATTTTCTAGTAGCTGCATTTTAAAAAAGTAAAAATAAACAGGTACAATTAATTTTAATGTAGCCTAATATATCAAAGATATAATTTCAAGATGTGATCAATATAAAAACATATTAATGAGATATTTACACTCTTTTGTTGTAGTAAGTCTTTAAAATTCATTGTATACTTTTATAGCATATCTCAGTTCACACTTTCTCTTTAGTACTCTACATTTTTAATGGTTAAAGTAAAATATAGTGATATCAAAACAATAAAGCTATGTTTAATGAGAAAATATTTTACATAGCTTCAGTGTTTGGTTTTAAATTTAAATTAATTTAGAATTAAATAAAATTAAAAATTCTGTTTCTCAGTCATACTAGTCACATTTCAATTGTTCAGTAGCCACAAGTTGCTAGTGGCCACCATGTTGGACAGAGTAGTGCTACAGGACCAAGAATGTCTTTGAGATTAGTTAATGTTTGAGAGTAAACTAAATTTCTCTAAGATATTACAAGGTAGTTGTCAGATTGTTCACCCTGTCAGGTTTGATTGGCAGAGAAATCCCTTCTTGTCTCTCAGGGCTTTTCAGCATGTTTCTCATTTAGTATTGGAGTCATTTCCTGTTTGGGGTTCCCCTCTGGCTTCTTTGGATTGGAGTTTATAGTTTACTCAACTATATTCTCTCTTAGTGACCCAGGAAATGGCTCAGAAAGGAGCCTTCTTTATATAGACCTCCAGATAATTTCAGTTTTATGCCACTTTGCCAGATCCAGGAGAAGGGAGTGAGCAATTCAGTCTCAGGTAAGTCAGCTGATTCTTGTAGCTTCAAAAGCTCAGGTTAAAGTGAAAGGTTCTGAGCCAGCCAGGAGACTGCAGGAGGGCCATGAAACTCTCAGGTCCTGATGGGTGCAGGGAGTTCCTTGCAGTGAAGTCTCCTATGTAGCACTTATGTAAAAGGAAAGAAACTATTTCTGCACCTTGTTTAGTTCTTGAGAGAGGACAGACCAGAGTTGAGGAGATGAGGTCAGAGAAGTTATAGAATGTCCATATTATATAATGTCATTTTATAGGCCATTGTAAGACAATTTTACTGAATAAGATGGGAAGCCACTGAAGGTTTGGAACACAGAAGAGAGACAGAGGGTGCTTTTTTGAAAATAGCCTGAAGAGAGGGCATATATTAGAGTATAGATTAAGTGTAGTTGCTATCACAAAGTCTGAGCAGGTGGTAAGATGTTCAGGAATCTAGAATCTTTCCATCTTTTTGCTTTACATTCTTCAGGCTTTGTCCTAATCAATACTAGGTCACTGTAAAGAAGGTATTATAGCCTGGAAGGAGGAGAGGCAGACGAAGTCCTGGGAAAAGAATTTCCTTTTAAATAAGTGAGGCAAATATTGCATGTATCACTTAAGTTTACATTCCATGGGTAGGATCACTTTCCCAGTCAAAGGAGATTGGGAAATAGAGTCTCAGGCTGGGTGACCATTTGGCTAGGAAGAAGAGGGAAACAAATGACAAATAGTCTACCATAGTCTGCCACTCTGGCCAACTAAATATCTATGTGCATCTTTCAACCTACCTGTTGAAAATATTCCTACCTCACTTTTTCAATGGAGACAACCCCAGGTGCCATCCACTTGTTGCGTTAATGCAAGTTCCCTGGGAGGCACAGTACTCTCTGTCAGATCTGCAAGTCTAGTGACCTGTAAACAAAACACAGTTATATTCCCCTCTATCCCTCCCACACATACCCAGCATATTGTGTTAGATCAACAACAGGAAAACACCCATAAAATCTCCCATTTGGGAAAACAGGCAAAAACCAGAGTAACATTCTCTGGTTGAGAGCAGTGCTGGGCAGGAATGATGATGCCTTGCAGTGGAGTAATATCCTTAGTTCTGCTTTCTGGTAAGAATGCCTGTGTTCATTGCATTATGATCCCTGTCTTTGCTGTCTGGATGTTTCTTCCTTACATTAACCTCCATGACCACATCTGAAGTTGGTGTTGAAAGTTTGTCCATTTTGAGAAGTAAATAGTTTTCATAGCCTGCTTCTGTGACTGCAGGTTTGCCAGCTTACAAGTTACACAGTCACAGGCTTTTGCAGGTTAGTTTATAATGTTTTGACAAATACAATTCTGTCAAAAACAGAATCTTATTTTTATCTCCATTCAGTTCTGTGTGCTGGTAATTACACCAGAGTTCTTAGTTGATTGTAGTTCATAAGCCTGCCTTATTTATTTCTCTTGTGTGCACCCAATGGCACATCTTTGTTTCTTATTTTAATAGCCACTGTCTTGAAACTATCTACAATAGACATTGGTGGATGGCATTATCCTTAAATCTAATCTTAACTATAGAGCTGGGTCCCTTTGTTTTGTCAAGAAATATTAAAAGAAGTCCTTTGAGAAAGATGTTAAATGTGGGGTATTGAAGTAGTTGGCTGCAAGGCTTCACATTTCTTTGTTCTTTTCTTTCCTTTCTTTCCTTCATTCTCTGTCACCCACTGCACCCAGGTGCAGTGGCCTGGTCATAGCTCAATGCATCCTCAAACGCATGGGCTCAGGAAATCTTCTGCCTCAGTTGAGACTACAGGCACATGCCACCATGCCCAGCTAATTTTTTTATATTTTGTAGAGATGAGGTCTTGCTACGTTTCTAGGCTGATATTGAACTACTGTCCTCAAGCAATCCTCTTGCCTCGGCCTCCCAAAGTGCTGGAATTACAGGCGCGAGCCACTGTGCCTGGTCTCTGCTTTATTTCCTTCCTTCATTGCTTATAAACTAGCCAATTCTTGCGTGAGTAAGCACAACAAAGAACCACTGACACACAATGTTGTAGCATTTTTCATCTACTTTTCCTGGGTCTGTGTACTTTTTGTGGGTACCTAGTTCAGCAGGTTATTGTAGGTAACAGTTTTATCATTTATCTTGTTCCCACATAACAGGGGCCAGTAGTATTCCAGTAGTATGTTTTCCTGTATACTTTTTGTTATAGTAATGCCCTGATTCTGGTATTAATTTCTATATTAAGGAATAGGCCAAAATGCTGTAATAGGGATCCAAAAATAAAATGGCTTAAATGAGAAGAAAGTTTCTTTCTTTCCCATTTGACAGGCCTACTGATTTAGGTAGTGGGGTTGCTATGTTCCATAAAGGAAATGCAGATATGAGGAAGACAGCTACCAAAATGTCAGATCTGGACTCAGACCCCCAGCCCATATTTTAACCATTGTGCTATGCTTATATATATTCAGTATATCTCTTTCTGATGCTTAATTAGCTCTTTGAGGTCAGGAATATAGGTGTGTACTTTGTACCTATTGCAATTCCTAGCCATTAGTAGGTGTTTAATAAATGTTTGAATGAATCAATATCCATTTCATATCTGAGTATGTTAAGGCACAGAAACTTGACCAAACTTGACTCTGAGTCAGAACCAGAGTGTGATCTAAGCCTTGAACAAAATAATATATGTATAGGAGAAGCTAGCTTAGATAAGATATTTCCGTAAAATTGGAATGTCTTATATAAAGATAGCATTGTTTTGATCATCTTAGAAATAGTTACTATAAAGTCTTTTGATATGATTATTAAAGTTTAAAATAGCAGTTGTAGGAATCAGTAAATCTACATCTTTATGATGGAAAGAAGAAAAAACTCTGCTGAAGAATGAACATGGTCTTTATTCCAACATTTTTAGTACTTAAAATAAATACCAAGGGCAAAATATATTTTTTCAAAAAATTAAGCAGTATTTGAAATGTGAGGAACACTATAGTGTATCAGGCAACCTTTTTTTGGTCAAATTATTTTAAATAGCTCTTTATGTTAATACACATATACATATATGTGTACACACACATATATATATATATGAAATTTCAGAAATCACCTCTATTCAGGGAGTTATTTAAAATGGTGAATGGCATTTTTGCATCTTAAAAATGATTAATAAGCTTATAATGTTTTGGTATTCATGAGGATTGTTACTGAACTAAGAAAGTATTTGTTATTATACTTTGAATTATATATAAGTGAATCTTTACGAGAGATATAATAGTTAATGTTGTTATCAGTGAAATTGTGAATGCAAACAGGTCTCTAAAACTTATTCCTTTATAGTCATTGGAGACTTGGAAGTAGGGGAGGATGGCAGGGGGTTAAGGGATGAGAAATTACTTAATGGGTACATTGTACACTATTCTGGTTATGGTTACACTAACAGCTCAGAAATTCACCACTATGCAATATATCTACCTAATAAACTGCATGTGTACCCCTTAAATTTATAAAATTAAAAAAATAAAATAAAACTTATTCCTAAACCTTATATAAGTTGAGAATAGGAAGTAATTAACAAAGCACAGGTTTCCTTAAGACAGACTTTTTTTATTTCAACTGTTTTGTTTGAGATATTGTTTCTTTCTCATAGGGGGAACGATATATTTTTAACAAGAATCAGTAACTGGAAGTACAAGATTGGTTATTTAATAATGTTAAAATGAAATTTTGATCAGCACAGGTAAGAATATGATATTTCTTTCACATTTAATTCATAATAAATTGGAATGTGTGCAAAATTTCTATGAAAAACTATTTCAACAACTGAGAAGGGTCTGAGATTTTGTCCTACTTGCAAGCTAACAAGTTAGCCTGCCACAGTGCCATGGATGTTGGCAGAAGACATGAGACCGATATATCAAAGACAAGGATGGTTTATACTCACAGCAGTAGCTACGTACCATGTGACACCTGCATGTGAGTAGGTTATGTTACGGGAGAAGAACCCTGAGTTTCCTTAGGGAAACCTGAATCTTTTATAATGGACAATAAGCCTGCCTGACTTTTTTCTTGGAGGGAGACTTTATCTTTATTATAGAGAACAGTAAACAAATATGCCCTTTGTTCTTTTATGAGACACGTCTCTGACTTCTAAGATTGTTCACGGTAGGATGTTTCACTGTAGAAACATCCTTGAAAAGATAATCTGGAACAAAGGCTGTCAGTGTCTCTGCAAGACATGCAGAAACCCAAGAGGTTCATGGAGAATTATATTCCAAAGAAATAAGCAGCAATTAAATTGCTTTTTAAAATATGTACTACTGATAAAGATGATTGTTATGGTGTTTTCTTGAAATTGTGGAAAAAATGGAAACTATTGAAATATTCAACATTAGGTGGTTTACATTATAACATGTTCATGATGTAATAGTTAACAATTAAAAATAATATTGTAAAACTACATTTATTAACCTACATATTTATTGAAAAATTAAGTGAAATAAACAGGTTATAAAAGGTACATGTGACTTGATTCCACTTTTATAAAAAAAAATTGTACAAATACACACATATGAAGAATGTATGCCAAAGTATGTATTTCAGTGGATGGAATTGTGAATTTTTTCTTTTTTGCTTGTCTGTTTTCTTTTTTAAAAAACACCTTTTTGAAAATGAATACTTCAGGCTTTTGTAGTGAAGGAAAAAAGTCTTCTTTTTCTAAATTTAAAAGTGGAAATTCATTTAAGAACTCTTTACCTAGCAAAGAAAAACCTTTCATGTATTTAACTAGGGATTCACAAATGTTAATTTTCTTTTTAACTCTGCAGTTACCTTTGTGTACAACGTAGAACTAGAAGAGAATAATTAGGTAGCTTAATTTTTTTAAGTTACTGTCTTGTCTATAAGAGAGCAAAAATTTCTTTTATCTGATCTTGGTGTTCAGAAAAAAAGTTTCTTTTAGCAATTTGTTATATTTATTATCACATAAATGAAAATACTCTAACAGGACAAATCTTATAGAGGTGCTCTTTAGTTAAGTATAGATTCTGGTGCTCTTTAGTTGGGTTAGTCTGTTAGGTACACTGAACCAATTTGCTTCATTTTTATTTTCTGCCTATGTATTCTAAAATATATTTTAGTAATATTTTTATACGTTGGCATTTTGTTGTGCTTCTCTCATTTTTCCCCCTTCTTTAACAAAGGTGCTGTTACCAGATCTGTCTTCTGGGTATAAAGTAAAAATGACTGAAGTTCAAGCAATGGTGGAATTCTCTGTAGAGCTAAACAAGTTCTACAATGTGGATTTATTTCAGAGAGGGTATGTATTTTATTATGAAAATTATATATTTTGCATAAGATAAAGATGTACAGTGTTAATTTAAATTTAATTACATACTTTTGTTCCAGCATACATAAGGAAAATAATAAGCTATATTCAAGTAATTATTTTCTCAGAGGAATTTTATTTGTTAAATAGATATTTTGGAATTATTTACATGAATTTAATGATAATGCTAGATACATTGAATACATGTTTATGAATTTGTACAGAGCATTGAGAGGACTTTAATGAAAAAGTGTAGGATCTCATTTTTCCTTTTTAAAACCCTGTAGTGTAGCAGGGAAAATAAGATATACACACAAAACAGCTAAAAGAAATACAAAGCACACATAATGATGAAGCTTTAATAAGTATATATAGGAAGTGCCCTATGAATTGGAGCAGAATGACATCTCTCTGGGTTAATATGTTAGGAAAGGCATTATGAGGGACTAGGATCAAAGTATGGATAAGACTTGGATAGGCAAAGGATGAAGTGAAATCCTTTTAGTAGGAGAGAGCAACATGAATCAGGTATTAGAAATAGGAATGAACATGTTATTTTTAAGAATATTTAGGAGATTGGATATTATCTAGGAACATTGCAAAAGAAGAGTAGTAAAGGAAGACAAGGTTATGTTTGTGAAGGGCTTTTAATGTCTAGAGATGAATTGACACTAGTGATTTGGGTAACCATCAGTAGTTTCTAAGTAAGGATAAAATTATCACTACTATTACAATAAGCACTTACTAACATGGTGAAGATTATGATAGAGTGATGGTTGTGTAGAAGAAATAGAAGCATAGGTAACAGTTTAGAGGCATTTACAGTAGTATTAATAACTCAAGATACAAGTCTGAAGGTCTGTATTAAGAATGATGGTGGGGGGGGCTATGACTAACAGAAGTAGGAAGAGAGAAATTTTCTGTTTTTTTTGGCTTGGCTTTGTGATCTTGTTGAAAAAAGAAAAATAGCCGTGCTATACTCTGCTCCACATGCTCTCTCATCCCTCAACAGGATAACTTGGGCTTGTTCTCATGGCAGAGATAGAAGTCCAAGAAAGAGAGCAGAAGATGCAAGGCACCTTAAATTAGCACAGTGTTATTTCTACTGCATTCTGTTGGCCAAGCAAGTCACAGGAAAGTCCAGGAGTCCGGGCTAGAGGATTTTTGACCAGTACAACGCACTTTAAAAATTTTGTGTGCTTTCTATATGGCTAAGTCCACGCCATGCTTTAAAGTCCACAACCACAGTTGTTTTTGGAGACATGATTGCTCTAGATATAATCACTATTACTTGGAGATCAGAATTCTATGGGATCATGCCCAGAAACTTCCTAAAAAGTCTTTTGCCAAACTGAGAATGTCTATTTAGATTCTGCCTTAATTCTTTTAGTAATCTTAAGAAAGGAACCTACAGCTATATCCTTGATTTGGCCTTTGTCCATGGGCTTCATTTTATTTTGAAAATATTACAGGAGACTGGAAATGAAATAGTTTTATTTTCCATCCCATCAACTCCTAATCCTTCTCTATTCCCTCTAAATTCTGCCTCTAAAATGACTAGCTCTTTCTTTAGCTCATCTTTTTCGTGCAGAACCTTATTATACTTAGCTAGGAGCAAGCAGTTGGCCTTTTCAGCATTCTGTTTGGAAGTTAGCTTGCTCAAGTCCAATAGTTTCTTAGATATACTGTGTAACTTATGCCAGGTTATTGTGGATAGCATATTTCAGCACTATGACATGGGTTACCATTTTTTTAGTTTCCTACACTTTCCTCATTACTTTTCCACTTTCTGTAACTGTAACTGTTAGTTTGATGCAAAGTCAATGCCACTTATTTTAAGTTTTTGTTATGTCACACACCACTTCTAAGTATCAGTTTCTGTATTAGTTATTTATTGCCACAATAATATAGCTACCACTAAACACATACCCTCAATGACATTACAGCAATAACATTTATTTTTGCTCATAAGTCTATGAATCAGCTGAATGGTTCTGCTGATCTGGGTTGACGTGGATAATCTTTGCTGGGCTTACTCATGAATCCACAGTCAGCTAGCAGTTGGCTGAGTGCTAGCTGTTGGAGAATGGCCTCGATTGGGTGGACTCAGCTCTGTTTTACAACCTCTCATTCTACCTTATTCTCATGAAAGAGACATGGATCTAAGGAGAGAGAAAGAAGCCATGCAAAGGAACCTCTTAACATCTAGGCTTGGAAGTGACACTGTCACCTCGACCATAATGTATTGGTCAAAATAAGTCATAAATAAGGCCAGGCCAGATTTAAGAGGTGAGGAACTGCACTCCAGTTCATAATGGGAGTCCCACTACAAGAGGTGTGAGTACAAGGAAGAGCAAAGAAATTGGTGACATATTTGAAATCAGTCTACATGTTGAAGGTTTGTTTTTTGAAAACATGATTTCCAAAAGCTAAATGCTTAAGAAACAATTCATAGGCCTGACATGGTGGCTCACACCTGTAATCCTACCACTTTGGGAGGCTGAAGTGGGAGGCTTGCTTGAGGTCAGGAATTCAAGACCAATCTGAGCAAAAGCAAGACCCCATTTCTATAAAAACAAACAAAAAAAACACACAAAAAACCCCATTCATTATTGGAGTTGGGTTTAAGACTAGTTTGGCTAGAAAACAAATTGCTTACATAAGTTATATAAATGAAAAAATAATCATATTTAGAAACTATTAACTGCCATTTACAAGATATTTTTCATATATATGTAGTGTTCTCTGACTTATATATAATTGTGTATAATTATAAAGTTATAACAAAGTATTTTAATGTATAATGTAAATATAATATAAAAATATAAAATGTTCTTTCCAAGTAAAACAATTTTTTACTAAAAATGTCATGTTTAAAAAAATAAAAATAATTAAATAAAAAAATTAAAAGACAGCAATTAAAAAAAATGTCATGTTTATTATATGAAAGTACCTTGCTTAATAAAATCATGTTAATTTTTACCTCATACTGTTTTGTTTTGACACAATGTTATAAAGTCAGTGCTATAAATAATTAAGAGTTCTAAAGTTCTAAGAAATAGGATAGAAATATAAGAACTTAATATTCACAAGCACATTCTTTTAGCCACTACGTTCAGTTTTCTTATTTGTCCCTCCAAAAAAATTCAGATTTTCCATTAATGAAAAAAATAGGTATGCATTTAATATTTTTGTCTTTCTGTACCTGCTACATCTCTACAGATCTCTATAAAGATGCTAAAGAGCAGTTTTTTCTCATTAAACTACTCCTAAAAGATTTATCAATGTTATAGTCCATTTTAGCTTATCTTTTATGTAAAAAACTGGATCTAAACAGAAGGACCCATATTAGTGCCCTTGAAAAATAATTCAGAGAAGATCAAAATTAAATTTTTGTAATAGAGCACTATCTTCTTCATCTGTGAGATTATGTTTTTGTGACCCTTTGCAACTTACTTTCTCTCTTAATAGGGTATGGGAAATAAATAATATATGTAATAATAACTGAAAAAAAGATTGTTTCACTTTAGTACTTATCTCATTGTATTGGATTATTTATAGATGAATTGATTATATCTATACCTTTTTTCTAATTCAAATATTTTCTTCTATTATAGCTGGTTATTTTTGTCTAACTGGTTATTTTGTAGTATAAAGTGGGACATTAACTTTTATGTATTCATTTCATCTGGCTAGGGCTTTTTAAATTCTTGTAATATTCTTTAGGATCCTAAAATCTACCTAAATGTCAGAAATACTTACACTGCCATATTTAGATTCTAACTTAAATAACATAATAGTTAATTTTTCTTTTCAATATGTCTGAATTGTAGAGACTATTGTTAAACAGAGTTATAAGGACATTATAAAGCATCTGGTTAAAAAAAACTTATAAGTAATTTAAGTTGCAAAACAAAGTTTTTAAGCACAGTTATGTTTGGGTGACCATAGAATTTACTGACCAAGGCACTGTTAATAATATGTCCAGACAACAGATGAAAACCAGGATTGTTTCAGGCAAACCAGGACATATCAGCATCTCCTTGTAATAATCAAATAGTCCTTAAACAAGTCTTAACCTTTTTTTTTAAAAGTGACTTAAACCAATAACCATTTGTTGTTTTTCTTAAGTCTTTAAGTTGGTGGTTGGCTGATGGCATCTAAGCTTGCTCAAGCATCTATGATCAGCTGACGGGTCAGCTCTAGGATAATTGGTCTAAGATGACCTTGGCTGGGATTCCTCAGCTCTCTTTCATGTAGTCTCTCATCCTCCAGCAGCCTAGGGTGGGCTTAACAACTCTTAACTTTAATTGAATTGCAAAAGTATATATTTGCTTAGACTTGTTGGGTAGATTAGTCAATGTTAAAAAATTCTTAAAAAAAATCTTTACCTGCTTTCAGAAGAGTTAACAGGTTACTAATTCTTTTACATAATAATTTTTACTATAATTACATTGTTTTTCCTTAATGGTAAATAAAAAGCTCAGATCCTTACAATCTAAAGAAAAGCTAGTTTTATTTTAATTTTACTCTATTCTCCTGTCATTTTGTTTAATATAGTGGATTTATAAACTCTGAAAACAAAATGAAAATTCTAAAGCATTGATCATAAATGTTATTAAGTGGAATGTGGATATATGTCTTATAAATGAATAATATAAATTATCTTAAGATAGATTTTTATTATACTAGAAGTATCTGATTACAAGATGGTTGACTTCCCAAATGACTTTATTCAAAATAAATTTGTCAAAAGAGTTCCAAATGGGGAGGAAGTATTGCCCTTTAAATATATAGAGAAGAATTGGTATTTGAACACCTGTTCTTGTTGGCATAAAGGATAAGAGAATGGGATTAAATGGAAGTTGTAGCATTTCAGTTAGATATTAATCTGGGTGAAAATTTTTCTATATTTGGAGAACATTGCAAAATTAGAACATCTTTTCCTAGAATTCTTTAGGTCAGTGCTGTTCTGATTATCCTATCTGTAA